AAAATTAAGGAGTACACACGTATGGATAATGTGTGCATACATCTATTACCGAGATAACCGTTTTTTGATCACAAACGTGAACCAAATGAACATAAATGCACACATTGTAGTTTATGTTCATATACTTTTCATAGTGAACAGGTCATTAACATTTAATGTTCATATCATTTTCATAGTGAACAGGACATGAAAAGTATAAATGTTCATATCAAATATGAATGTACTGACAAATAGTATAAATGTTCATATCAAATGTGAATGTACTGACAAACCTACAAGCACATCTCAAACAGAAAGTCTCATCTGTTTGCATCCTTTTTCTATAGAGACAAGATCAAACAGAAACAGAACACACTAGCCCTGTTACATGTGTCTGTGTGTGTATATATATATATATATATATATATATGTATATATGCATTTTGATGTGTGTGTGCATGTGGTTTGCACAATTAAGTAACTTAATATCAAAGTACAACAAATGGAAAGACCAACATTAAAGTATACAAAAACAAACCGGGTATGCATGTTTGTGCATTCCATCCCAAATATGTTCCTTAGACACTATATGTAAAAAATTGTAAGAAACACACCCTAAAAACTCAATATCAGTAGGCAACAAACTTGAAAAATATGGAAAATCGATTAACCAACAACATTCGTTGTTGATTAAATAACCAACCAAGAATGAAAAGGTTCATTCATTGTAAAATAAGTGGAGTTTACCTGTGGATTGCTGGATTTCCAAGCATTTGCCCTTACTCGAGCATCCTTCATTACTCTGTACATCATTTGTTCGTCCTACTTCAGAATCTTCATTGACATCAACTGGGTTGTCGATGGTGTTCTTGAAGTTTGAGAAGTAGGTTTTCTTCATTATTCTTTCACTTTTCTTCCTCACTGAAGTGAAAATATATGCTGTTATCGTATTACAGTACTAATCAAATGACGATAAAAACCCTAATTTTTTGAAACATACCTCTTATTTGATGCTGATTAACGTGAAATCCTCCTAAATCAGCCATCTTCTTGCGACGATGATGAACCAGATTTTCCGCCCCCGTGATCAAATGTGATGAGCGTCGTTGTTTTGGTAATCTTTAGTCTGTAACCGATGATTTGATGATACTGACGTGTATGAAGTGTAGGTTATTACCCAAAATGCCCCTTTCATATATGTTCACAATGCTTAATTAAATTTCAAATTTTAAAAATTAAAATTTTAAATTGATTAATTTACAACCATTGATCATATGTTTGTATGGTCAAGATTGGTGAATAAGGTTAACACAAAATGAACGGTTAGCATTTGATCTTGGCTCTATATATATATATAGAGAGAGAGAGAGGAGCGTTCAAATAAAAACTTGACCCATTTGTGTAAACCGTATAAACCAATCTCATCCATTCATTTTTTTGATTAATAGCTAAGATTACATTACTTTATTTTAGGAAATTAAAAATTAAAAAATAATTAATATTTATTTTATTTCATCAATAAGGGTAGAATCGGTAAACAAATTTAATTCATAGTATTTTTTATTCAAGGCAGCCATATCAGGTAAATTATATTATTAATGAAATTGATTCACTTTGTGAAGTAATATACTATTTTAATGTTAACATTTTTTAAAATAATATCCATCAATAAGTTATATCAAAATCAAAACACAACATATTCACTAATGTATAATGAATAATTTCATAAAAAATTAAAATAAATGATCATGTTTCGTTTTTCTTAATTTACTTGTAGACGGATTCGTTA